TCTTCTCTTGTAACTAAACCTTGGCTGACTTTTAGAGATATCACTAGGCTTGAAAAAAACACCTTAATGAGTTAGCAGCACAGAAAAGCAAACAGTGAACTACAAGGGGAAGGTATCTGAAGAAATGACTAAAACATCACGGGGTGTCTGTCAGAAATGTCAACTTTACAGTGTTGTCTAATTAAATACTGTGTTCAGAGATTATGGGCTAACTTTTCCAAGACGTTGCCATTCAAGTGGTATTAGAAGCCCAAATTAATAGCTTAATTTTTCAGGAGAGTTTTGTGATCGTGTTCAGTGCTGATAAGAACAGACAGAAATAAGAATGAAAAAATGGCTCAGAATAAGTTTTTTTTGTACTTCACAAGCAGGAGCCGAATGCAATGTCACCTATAACATGTTAGAGAAGATGCTTTTCATCAGATTTTGGGTTTAACCTCCAATTTCACAATACATCTCAAGATATAGAGGATATACTACAAATACACCCCCTTACTTGAAGCTCAATGAAAGTAAGAAAACTGCATTTCTAGTGAGCGTATTTGGATGGAAAATGAAGAAAAGACTGCAAAAATAATAGAATGGTTTGAAACAGATCTTTATAGGTTATCTAATCTACCTAGTTGCTAACTATAAAACAAACTATGATTTGATTTCAGTGCTTAAGAGAGATCTGACACAAGACATTATCTCTGACACATCTGGAGACTTTCAGAAGGCTTTGGTTGCTCTAGCCAAGGTATGCTGTGCTAAAGTATTTTGAGTGACGGTATTTGTGATAGAAGTCAGTGTTGTCAAGACTATTTTAGAGAGACATACAATATTTATTTCCTTGCATTGTCTTTTACTTTCCTATCTTGAAATTGTTCTTAAACTATAATGAGATTTTATCTCAAATGCATTTTAAAGAACATTACTATTTATCATAAGACATACTTTATTATTTATCATTTATGCTTTTAAGACTTTGTGTGCTGTCTTTAAGCACTTGAAAAACATGTGTAATGTCATGTCACTTGACTAGAAAAAGAAAAACAAATAGAGAAATAAACCTTTTGTCTTACTGATGTGGGGACATGGGCAGGGAGTTAACAGTGGACAAATCACTTGTAAATTGATGTTCAAAAGCAGATGACTTTAGAGCTGCCCAATAAAAAGACTCTTTTCAAATGCATAAATATTTGATTTTTGTGTACATGTATATCAAGCTTGTACATGCAGACAGGATTATTTTTTGATATGCCCATGTACATGATTAGGATATTCAGTTTTTGGTTTCAAGTAACTTGAAAATAGTCTATTGAATGATCATTAGGGAACATCTCACAAGTTCTAAGCCAGTAATTTCACATCAATAACAATACTTCCTGTGGATCTTTATATAGGACTTCAGAAATAAGTTGCTGAGTTCACAAGAGTGAACTCAGACTAGAAATAGAACAGTTTTATTCAAAGAATGGTTGACATTACTGTACCTATATCCAATTATATACTAATTTATGTATGAAAATGGTTCTGCAGAACTCTAAAAGGTTGAGTTCTGGTGAACTGAATGATTTTGAGGACGAATGACATTTTGTTTATTTATTAATATAGGGTGACCGATGTGAAGATCCTCATGTGAATGATGAACTTGCTGACAATGATGCCAGGGTAAGATCAGGAAATTAGATCTTCACCCTAATATCTAGCTTCAGAAATGTTTCTGCCAGATCTTTTCTAATTTCTGTAAATCATGTGGGACATCTGAAGTACAGGTTGGACCCTATCTTCCTTCTGTTTATAACATGGCTGTTGAATTCATGTCTTGAAGACAAGGATGTACTTATATATGTGCAGAACCAGCTACCATACCTTGACCAGTGTGAACTCTGCAGTATGTTAACTACAGTCATTGCTTTACAGTAATGAACCTTTAAGATAGGGTAAACCTCACGGTCATTTTCTGAATAATTCTAAAATAAACATCTGATTTTTTCCTTATTTCTTCCATCATTAGTGTGACTATTTTTGTTAATCTTGGTAAACCTTAGCAGTGTTTCCTGCGTTTTACCTATAAAATCTTACATCATTATTACAATTTAAATGTAGATAGACTTGAAATTGATTTTTAAAAAATCTAGCCAAGGAAAGGCCATTGGAAAAATACTGGGTTTATTTCTGCTATATAAAGGGTTAGGGTTTGGCTTTGTCATCAGCCCTATATATGAAAGGTCATTAAATTAATACTCTGAGCTCAAAAATTCAGTACTATTTATCCCGATGCAAAATATTGTTAGATCTTTGTGCTGTGTGGAGGTCTTTAGTTACTAGTTTTAGACAGGTTTGAGGATGTGAGGAAAATGAGGGAGGCTGATTTGTCTGTTATTTTCCATTAAAGTCACTCCTGGAAAGACACAAAGGTGTTTGTGGTGCATAGGCTTCTCCTGAGTATTTGACCAGTTGATAGCAGAGATAATTTTGATAGTCTGAAGAAAGCCTACTAGTCCTAAACTCCCATGCAAACTGACAACATAACATGATAAATGAGAAATAATTTCATTCAACTATGTAGTATACCCAGGAGAACTATGTAGGGATCATAAAATGTCTGAAAATATGTTTTCGAGGTACATAGTGTTTTCTAGGTATGTAATGTTTTCTAGGTACTATTAGGACTTAAATTAAGTATGCAGTATTACTTTACGGAGCTAGAGTTAGTCTGAGGTAGGGTAAAGTTTTGATATGGATTGTGTTATGGCTAGAGCTTGTTACTGATGAACAATGACCTACCTTTCGATGTTAGCCTCAGAAATGCAGTATTTCTGTTTGAGCTTTACTATTGCAGTATTGACTTTACTGCTTTCTTTTATGATAGGCCTTGTATGAAGCAGGAGAGAAAAGGAAAGGAACAGACATTAATGTGTTTGTTAATATTCTTACTACAAGAAGCTACCCACATCTTCGAAGGGGTATGTTAAAACTTTGTGCTTCACTCGAATGGTTTTTGAAGGTGGCCTGCTCATGAACTCTATATTCATGAATCTATATCAAGAAGATACATGTTATCAAGATGTGACTCTGCCTGGTACAAAGGTCTTTGTAATTGGATGCATGCTTGTTGACTAATCGTGCATTTGGCAGCATGGCTGTTCTTTCCATAGTAGAGGTGAGCAATATAATTTTGGCTGTTATCAAAACTATTGCCATGAAGACTTAAATGGGTAGTGGTCACAATGCCAAGCAATCAGTGTGGCAGAGGTTCTGAATTCTCCCCAATATGGCCTTGCTTCTCAGCCAGTTTTCCCTGGATAGAGGGCTATAACACAATGTCACAGGCTCTGGTATAGTCAGGATCACCTCTATCTGTACCAATGGGAACATGAACACTACTAGCCTAACAAAATCTAATTCCTTATGCTGACTCCACGAGTCTCTGCAGTAACACTGCTGTTTACACTGTGCTGTCTGAAGAAAATGGGAAAGAGAACCTACAAACAGTCCTCTGCTGCAGCAGTGAGGACAGAATAAGGCAAAGGTGATGTAGGGACCATACTGTACTTTCATCACTATTCACTGTGTTTTCTTCCTTTATTTAGTCTTTCAGAGGTACAGCAAATACAGCAAGCATGACATGAACAAGGTACTGGATTTGGAGCTGAAAGGTGATATTGAGAACTGCCTAACTGCCCTTGGTAAGTGATTCTTCAGATTGCAACCTACTGGACATACTGACTATGAAAACTTAACTTTTACTTCTGCCATACTTGCTCTGATGGGAAACTATTCTGGACTTACCCTGCTTCATTGAGAAACTTGCTAAATAACACCTTGGAGTATCTAATCCAGTCATAGTGATTTAAGTCAGTTAAAGTCGGTGAATGTGTAGAAATACCTCTCCTGGTATGTGGAAAGGTCTTTTATGGAGAAGAGATGAGCCATCAGCATAGAAAGATCTTTACAGGAGGTCAGTATGCAAAAAAGGAGCTGTCAGAACTGGCACAATAGTTTTAAACCTGTCTTCAAACAAACAGAACCAAACCCATTGTTCTCCAAGTTTCATGTTGCAAAGACAGTTATTATACATGTTTATTAAAAATACAACAAATTTCCTTTTGTGGGTTTGTTCAAGAAGTATGAAGTTAGTGACTGTTGTGTATAAATATAAGGTGAGGCAGTGACTCACTCTTACTTGTGGAGCAGGGGTGGAATCAAGAGCCAGACACCCATCTTGTTCTCAGCTTTTATATCACAGTCAAGCATATTTTGAAAAAAAGAATGATACCCATCAGATCCCACTTAATATCGAAAGTGAAGGGCAATTACTCTACTACGACTTGGTTTACAAAACATTAGATCATAATCTCCAGCTCTAACTGCAGAAGACATAAGTGCTTTCAAATTTTTCTTCTTGGGAACTGTGACATCTTTTGTGGCAGAAAATAGGGAGAACAGTCTTGTCTTTCTTGGAACTGTTCTCCCCAGACCAATTGCCTTCTGAATGGATGGAGGAAAGGAACTGTTCCTTCTCCTACACTTTGAAAACAAATAATAGAAGTACATAAATAAGATTTGCTGGTAGAAATAATGAGACTGGTTTGAAAGTTTTTTGTTTCCAGCCTTTTGTCATTTGTTACTTGTTACATGTATAGCAGAAGTGACTTTATCTCACTGCTTCATTACAGTGAAGTGTGCCACAAGCAAGCCAGCTTTCTTCGCTGAAAAACTCCATCTGGCAATGAAGGTAACCTAAAAAACTTCTCTTTTTAAACAAGAGGTGCTTTATAAGCTGAAAAATAAAAAGCTAGCTAGAGTTCTCTAAGCCCTTTATGAGATAGAAAAGGACTGCAGAAGTATTGTATTTCTGTCACTCCTTCTGTTCCTTCCTTTGAAACCCGAGGAATAGGTTTGTATAGTTGTCTGTTTGCTGTAGTGTGTTCAGAAGAGTATCTGTCTATCCCCACATCTTTTACTGTCAACAGTAATTGAAAGCTGTCTGGAACTTTTCTTACTTACAAAACCACAAAAATATTAGTAAAAACCAAATAGGAGATAAATTACAGATCTCAGCAAGAACCTTGTAGAAGCCTAATCTTTGACATGACATCCATGATCCTTCTGGCACATTTGGAACCCAAGTTGAGTAAGACAGCTGGAGATCATCAAACAGTCTAGTATGTAGGTATTGTCATAACTCCTGTGACCTGGTTAGGAGCACTACGTGACAAATTGAGTGAAACATTATGAAAATAAAGATCATTGCACTATTAAAAAATAATGAAAAAAAGGCAGTGAAGTCTAGGTTGCCTCTGATGTCTAGCATGGAACAGTAAAGGAGATGTCTCTTTTTAGGAAACAGCTAAAAGAAATGTGTAAAAAAATACCCATGATGGAGGTATCCTATCAGAAGTGAATTGTGCTCACAGGGTACAGAAGGCTGATATGAGAGGATGGTGCTATGAGAGATATTAAAGGAATAGGATGCGAGTTCTGTTCATCCACAAACGAGTCTCATGGATTAACACATAGAATTTGACTGAAGGTGTTTCAATTACATTAGTAGCATCTTTTCATTTTTTTTCCTTTTTCCTTTTTTTTTTTTTTTTTTTTTTTAACAGGGTGTTGGGACACGGCACAAAGACCTCATCAGAATCATGGTTTCACGCCATGAAGTGGATATGAATGAGATCAAAGGCTATTACAGGAAGCTGTATGGCATCTCTCTCCGCCAAGCCATTATGGTAGGTTTTCACTCAGGTGACATATGAAATGCAAAACAGCTGGATGATTTTGGAAGTCCAGTAAAAATTTGTTAACTGATGAAGCACTGGTGTTTGGTACGTGCATATTGAATGCTAATTGAACTTTGCTTCACCTGAGACAGTTATTGTAACAATTGTGGGCTTTTTGTTCTTAAATTGACAGGATGAACTGAAAGGGGATTATGAAAGCGTCCTGGTGGCTTTATGTGGAAGTGATAACTAAGTTTCATGTTCCTGAAATGCACTCAAGTCTGGTTGCTGAAGGTTTTTGTATTTGCCTGTCTACATGAAACACAGGCTTTATGTGGTGAGGTTTCTGTAGCATAGTACTTAGTCTGTATGTATTATGCTGGAAACCTGTAACCCAGAATGTATTTTTTTCAGTATCTTTATTCTGAATGGCATTAGTGTATCTGTTTGCCATTATTTATCCAAAGCCAAAGAATGCCTCTAAGTTTTTATTCTTCTTGATTAATCATAAAAATGATGAAGTTTTCATCTATGGTAAGCAAATAAACTTTTTAAAATAAAATTAATCCATGTGGAACTTTGTATGCCCTTTGTTGTATTTCTGCATTCAATTTCACATTGTCTTACAACACTGTGTGAGAGAAAATCAGTAAATAAATTTTAAAAAAATCAAAAAAATAATGTGCCTATATCAGACAATATAGCTGAGTCTGCCTTTTCATTTCACTTCGGCTAGGACTGATGTAAGCAAGAAAAACACCTTAAGATAACCTGTTAAAAAATCTTAGATATAGTTGGCTTTTTTATATTGTTATCTTGTTTTTTCTCATTTAAATTTCAGAGTAAATAGGCATGTTATGCTTTGTACAGTGGGGAAGAAAAGAAAAAGGTTGGAAAAATTCTTCATAGCTCATGTAGGACTTCTGTCTTTTTCAGGATGAGCTGCTTACATTTTTATATTATCTGTGAAGTGAAAAAGCTACTCTCACTACCTCTGTTTTGGACAGTACTTGGCAGTGCTGTCCTGATTGTGCCAGATGCTGTACAAATGAGTTAATTATAGCACTCAGGTGCATATGTGGAATTAAGCATTACTTTTTCAGTTTCTCATTACATGAAAATACTGCTGGCCTTTGCTGTGATGGCCTCCAATTACTCATGTGAACAACCACATCCTGAATTGCTGGGAAATCAAAAGTAATCTTGGTTAATGTATGTTAAACATCGCAGGCCCCCTTTGCTTCATATTGGAATGGTCAAGGATAACAGAAATAGGTTTCTGAAATGGAAGTTTATTCTAGAAGAAACATTAGCACTGCTAGAGCTGGAGAGAAAATTCCCATGTGCCTTCCACAGGGCCAAGTTTTAATCTACCCCAATTATTTTCCAAAATCTATAATTACCACCCTAGCCATAGTTTACTTCATGAATGTTCCTAATTGTCCTTTGTAACGCCCTGGTCCACTTGGTGGGTTGAGAGGAAGGTAATTTTGAATTACTCTGGGTCAGTGTGCGGGAGAAAAAAATGGATTCTCAGGAGGTTCAAAAAGAAATCATTTTTACTTAGGAACTTTGGGTCGCTCGTGTGGAATAAGACACTTGGCAAAAGGAAAATCAGTAAACTTCACAGCATTCAAACATTCTGTGCAAACTTTAACTTAGCATACCTTGAGAGAACAAAGCCCTTAGCTGGGCACTGATCATGGCACTTAGCAAGCACTGCTGAGTGCAGTTTGTAACTTAGTATGTTGCAAGGAATAAAAGAAGAGAGAGAGAAAAATAGATGAGAAAGAGAGCTGGATAGTCACCACCTGTGGATTCAGTGAGGTCCCATCAGCTTCCAACCCAGGGCAGTGGGGCGAGCTGTGTGGCACTCTTGCTGTCCTTCTATCCATTCCCTTTGCCCAGGGTCTATCCCAGCATGAGCTCACACTTGCACCTGTGCTTCAGGCAGAGCCAGGAGCTTTGGCATCATCTCAGGGCTTGCAGCAAGGCCATATGGCTGACCACCACCATTTCCGGGCTCACATCAGAGCCATGTGGTCACCAAGGTCATTTCAGCACAGACTGGCAGTTGCCTCCTGAGGCTCAAGGGGTCTTGGAGGGGAGCAGCATGCTGCTCCACCTACACAGAGCTTGAGCTGTTCCCCCCTACCGTTTTCCCAACTGGTTGTTTTGAGCCAGACAACTTTTCCTCCGGTCCCTAACATCCTTGTAGGGTAAGTGGAAGAGAGAGAATAGTTTATGGAACATGTACAAGACATTAATCAGTTAAAACAGAAACATAAAAAAGCAGACGTATGCAGAGAGATCGTGCTGAAGGATCTGTTTGATTGAATGACATGCTTCAGGGAAAACAAAATCTAACCCCATGTATGTTTTAAGTGTGGCACTAGCAAAAGACTAATTTATTTTAGAGGCAGGTGTCAGAAAAATGCAATTCCCCAGTCCTTTAGTCTATGTAGACTTGGCAAGCTTGATTGTGATTGGAAGAATAGTTGTAAGTTTCCTGAGTATGAAAGGTAGATGGTATCTTAATTCTTTACCAGAACCCCCTAGCTTCTTCTCACTAAAGAAAATGCATAGAAAGGAATTATTAGATGCAGCTGTAGTTTCCTTTTGAACTTGTGGTGATAATAATGTGTTTTGATAGTATGCATATAAAATATGCATAT